TGCAATATATTGAATGAACAACGTAGCAGCGCCGCATCTAGTGGGTTCAACTGGATAGGCTAACAAAAGCATTCAAATGCAATCAATGACACATACATCGTCATCGCATCTCGTGCGCCACTGATAAGGCTGCCTGACGGCTAACGCAGACCTGAAATTCGAATGCAACATTTTTGCATTCGAATGTGTTCTTTTTTTTTTAATTCGACGAATATTCGAAATTCGAAAAAAAAATTTGACAGCCCTAGTGAGATTTGTTCTCATCAAGCAAGCACGGTTGAGATTCTGTTTACCATATTTGTTGCGTTTTTGTGTTGATTGATGTTTATATGTGAATAAAAGCTTAAATAAATCTGTTCATCATATAAAGCAATCATATTTCTTAAGAATACTTTAATTAAACCACTTAATTCGTATGGGTTATTTTACAATGATTTTTCGTATAGTGTGAAAATTTTGGTTGAGTGTGTTTTTACGGGTAAAAATAATGATAAAATTATCAGATATGACTTCACTAGGCAAGGTTAATTCAGTAAAATGAAAGTAAAGTAAAATGTCATGTGGTGAGTTCTCAACTTTTTACGATAATTGTTTAAAAAAAGTAGTACCTTTTACCTTGAAAATATATATTTAAATATATAACTCAATATTTAAAAATATATTTAATAATAATTCAGATAACTCGCATGTATTCAAGATGTAAGAATAACATTTTATTACTTTTAACTGGATGGCAACACCACATGACATTTTTACTAATTAAATAAAAAATTTTATTTTTACTTTTTTTTTTGAAAACCGTATGAAGTCAAAGTGAGTACTGAAAGGCAGAAAATGCACTGTATTTCAGTCCCTCACATTTGTTCCAGAGGAGTTTAGGAAACTTAACACAACAGCTGAACTGAATGATTTCAGCTGGCTCTTCTGAAGAACAGCATCCAACCCTGTGCTCATGGCAGTGGGCCGGTTATGCTGTCTAAGCCAGATTTTGTCAAGGAAAAACTGTTAAGGTCTAGAGGCTTTGACCTTGAAGCACAGTTCACTGGATGTTTGACTTCAGCCTAGTCATTCAGATGAGTTTATGAGGCCTTCGAGCTTTATCTCAACGCTGTTAAACCATTACATCACTGACTCAGTCAGGCTGTCACCTTTCACTCGCTAAAAGACTGAAAGGAACATTTTCGAGGTTCCAACGAACTAACACACACCCACACACACATGCATGCACGCACTGTAGACTTCATGCAAATGCAGATGCAAATGTTTGGTCAAACTTCGTATTCAAGTAACTATTTATGAACAGGTCAACAGTCAAACTAACTGTTAACTTCCAAGATTCTCAAGGTATTCTTCTGGATAGATGAGAAAACACAATTATTTTATGAGTTGGCACTTTAGTATGAATTCATACTATGTGGTTGAATATGTTTGAAAACTAGTGATATTCGATACCATTTTTAATACCATGAGGAAAAACTGCCATAATATTAAAGGCATAACATTTCAGATTTTTATTGAAAGATAAATATAACTACGCTAGAACATGACAATGACGTATATTTTTTACATTAAAGGTAAAACACTAGAGAAAAACATTTTGCATATGTTGCAATTTCTTGGCATGAATCCGCTGTCGAAAAGAAGAGAGAGCAAAAAAGCGCAACTGGTATCGGAATATCAATACTTCAGAAAAAGTATTGATACACTGAGTATTTAAAGTTTCAGATATTTCAGTATTGATATCTGACAACACTACTATGGATGCACTGATACACATTTCGGTGGCGATACCGATATCTTCCGATATCTTTCACATCCGGCCCGTGAGAGAAAAAAGTTTGGCCCGCGCTAATTTCAAATAATGTGGCA